TGAGATTCCAATACTCCTCAGCATAAGCGTCTGTTGCACTCACAGCCATTCTAGTCACTGGCATGAGATCTGGGAGCAAAACTAGATATTCCACATCAGTTTCCAACATCATTGCTCTGAAATGTTCTTCCTCCTATTAATTTTATTGCAGGAACACAAGTACCTACTGAGGAGGAATCCCAGGTGTTCCTTATCTTATTATACTGCCAGGAGACCCTAAATCTAAAGGCAAAAAGAATATTTAATGTGGGGACACTGCAGTAACAGACAAGATTTGATTTATATGCTCTCTGTCTTCCATTGGAGGAACCCCAAAGCAATTCATATTCAACTAAAGCAATTATAATATACACAATGAAATACAATATTAAAAATATATAACTATATTAAAAACACACAGTCCCTACATCAAAATCATATATAGCCCCCCCATATAATATTTGTCCTCATCAATTAAACTCAAACCTTAGTTGCTTCCACAGAGTCCTGCCTAGAGGTAATAAAAGTTCACGTGATTTTTGTAAAAAAATGACTGTGTTGTTGCCAAAGTACAGTATTCCATTCCAGTGTTTCCTGCGCAAAGATTTTACTGACTTGTCATAGAATTGAAGTATTATGCCTTTCTCTCTCTCTCTCCAAATCCAACAGTTGAACCTGACTATTATCACAGTCCAAGATATCCCAGGCAGCCCCACACCAGAGGCGAGAGCAACAGGACCCGGTCCACCACCCAGGGTATCAAGTCCAAAGGCGCTCACTGCACAGTTTATTTATTTTATTTATTTATTTAATTTATATGCTGCCCACACTACCCAAAGTTGGTCATGACCAAGCAGAGGCAGGAGCACAAGGCTGAGAACATGGAAATGGAAGAAAGTGCCAAGATGCAGGAAGGAAGCAGAGGCAAGAGGAGGGACCAAGGCAGGAACAGGAACAGAAGCAGGTGCAGGAACACTGGAGTCAAGACTCAGAGATGTAGGTGTAAAGCAGAGGCAAGAGCAAAAACCAAGGCAGGAGCAGATATGGGAGCTCAGGAGCAGCAAAGCAGTCAGCACAACAGGGCCATAGACCTTTGTTGCTAAGACAAGTTCTGAAAGGGAGAACCACTCCTTAAAGAGGCCTTTCCTCCAGGTTTCCAGGTGAGCCTCATGAGTGGCCCAGCAGCTGCTACACAACCCGGGGCCTGAGTCTGCAAACACCAGGCCACCCCTGGCTCAGGTTGGCCCTGATCCTGCAGCTGCCAGGGCAGTATGGGCCAGATCTTGACAGCTATGGGTATTGCTGGTGTAGCAGAGCCTCTCTCCATCGCTTGTGCTTGCTCTATATTTCTTGAGCACAGTGTTATTCTGTGGCTTACAACTCAGCTCCCTTCCTCTGTATCCTGAGTTTTGCTTCTCCCTTAAAAATAAAGTTGATATTTATATTAAGGTACAAGTGCAGTGATTTAAAAATGGAGCAATTTATTTACAGATAGTATTGGCTAAAAATTTATCCCCAAAGAAAGTGATAAAGACATGTTGGAGCTAAATGGAAACAACTTTAAATAAATAAATAAAACATATCTGCTATGTCAGCCTGATAAAGATTTTGCCTTTAAGTAGAATTATGAGAGAAGAATATTCCTTCAAAAACTAGACAATATAATAAAATGTTTTAACTAACTTAGCTGACTGTTCAAAAGACTTTTTCACTTTTCATATTGTTCAAATTGTCCCCTTTAAAAATTTCAGTATAATTTACTTTTTCAACTTATCGTAATTAGTTTGCTAATTTAATGGAATAAGAGTTTATTTCTCCATATCAGTTTCCAAAGCCATGGAAATTGTGCAGGGCTGTGGGCTATAATAATAATGCCTGGGAAGTAAATAGGACAAAGACTACCATAAATGTAAGCGAGCAATACCTTTTCCAGAATCAAGTGTAAAATGTACAACATATATAACTTTTCAAGCTTTGCTGAACTCATCAGCCTCCATGGTTTTAAAAAATAGGGGCATGGAAGCCCATATACTGTACCTGCCCAGGTATTTAAAACCATGGAAAACTGCAGCCAAAGCCCCAATTTGGAAAATGGAACTTGATGGGTTATCATTTTATGGGTGTCATATGACCTCTGTCAGTGCCTACTGGGAAAGCAACTAGAAATCCCTCTTTTTTACAGAAATAAGGACAATTTGAGCATGCATCTACATTACCCTTGTGCACAACACACCAGCTTCTTTTAAAAAAGAGATAAAAAAATTTTTTGTGGTCCTCGCAGTGAGTTATAAACATTGGGGTCTACCTTGTGTGAAATTCTATCAACTTGAACTAACTCTCCAATGCTGCACCCATGATTTTTGAATTTGTTTGTAATCTGATGAAGAGTTCTTGGACCTGAAAGTTAGCACCTGTTTGTGAGATTTTATTGGTCCAATAAAGGTACTGCCAAGCCTTGTTTTAATACCCTGGTTTGCTTGTAGCCTTTAGCAGAACTGCATGTAATTCTGGGAGGAGCAAGTTCAGTAGTGCAGGAGATGTCTATAAGGATTTTTCTTGGTTCCTTGGGACCAAAAAGTATTAAAAATCAGATCAGGAGGGGATCCGCGTTTTCTTCAGGAGTGTTTTCCTTTATCATGGGTCAGGATAAAAAGCTGGCAACTGCTTCTCCCAGCTGTGATGAGAGCAGCCTGTTGTGAGCTTCCAGTCATCTTTCCTACAGTGAAGCAGCATTGTCCTCAGGTTCTTCTTGATGGTGTATATGTAGCACAATTAATAACCGTGGTTTGTGTATGAGGGGTACAGGTTTCAAGCCCTTCAGGCAGGGATGAGCTTGATGGATGTTGAAATGTTAGGAACCTTTCATGTTGCACTGAGCTATCTGTATTTTTTGCAAGATATATGTAGATCCATGAGATTCCACGCTTTGCATCCATGCTTTTCAACCACTGCAAAGCCATGCATCATATACAGTATGTCTCCAATGATTTGTATTTTTCTAAATGTGCTCAATCTTTCTGACTCTTAAGTAATGGAATGGGCAGAATTCTTTCAGGATTTTACTTTACTCCAGAGAAATTGATGTTAGTTGCAGCAGCCAATGCAGCTACAAACAAGGTACAGTACCAGTTTTATGCCTAGTCATACATCCATCTGCAATTTGTTGCCATGATTTCTCTCATTTCACTTACCCTGGGGGAAAAAAAATCAAAATAGGATTCTATTATTCTAGTTATTTTCATCCAAAGTGTATAATCTGATATTATTAAAGCAAATTAGAATTCTGCTAAGAAACTACCAGTAATCTACCATAATTTTATCTTCCTCAAGAAAACATACCGGATTCCCAGAAGTAAGTAAAAGACAGGACTGCTGTGAGGATGAAGTGGGAAGGGATCAAGGCAAAAGGCAAATGCATGAAATCAAGAATGGATCTTCATGATTTCATACAATTTTCATATGAGATCCTCCCTAAACTACTGTAAGATAATAGATCCCATTTTTGCCCACAGACTACACCACAGAAATCATGGGTGCCTTAGCACATGGCTTTGCACAAAAATTTGGATCTGAAACATGGATCCCCATCACTTTTACATGAGATCTTCCCTAAACTACTATGTAATAGGCCTCATTTGTGTCCATAAGCTACAGCACAGAAAGTATACATTCCTCAGATCCATGTTTTTCCACCACTGCAAAGTTATGCACTGATGGATCCATGATTTCTGCATTATAGTCCATGGGCTTCCATGGGATCTATGATTTATGGTGGTTTAGTGAGGATCCTGCATAAAAACCATATGAAATCATAAGGCTCTGTTACTGATTTCATATCCAGGCAGGGATATGGAAGCAGTGACAGATTTTACTTTCTTGGGCTCCATGATCACTGCAGATGGAGACAGCAGCCATGAAATTAAAAGACGCCTGCTTCTTGGGAGGAAAGCGATGACAAACCTTGACAGCATCCTAAAAAGCAGAGACATCACCTTGCCAACAAAAGTCCGCATAGTCAAAGCTATGGTTTTTCCTGTAGTGATGTATGGAAGTGAGAGCTGGACCATAAAGAAAGCAGACCGCCGAAGAATTGATGCTTTTGAATTGTGGTGCTGGAGGAGGCTCTTGAGAGTCCCCTGGACTGCAAGGAGAACAAACCTATCAATTCTAAAGGAAATCAACCCTGAGTGCTCACTGGAAGGACAGATCAATACTTTGGCCATCTCATGAGAAGAGAAGACTCCTTGGAAAAGCCCTTGATGTTAGGAAAGTGTGAAGGCAAGAGAAGAGGACGACAGAGGATGAGACGGTTGGACAAAGTCATCGAAGCTACCAGAATGAATTTGACCAAAGTCTGCGAGGCAGTGGAAGACAGGAGGGCCTGGCGTGCTCTGGTCCGAGAGTCGGAAACGACTAAATGACTAAACGACGACTGATTTCATGGAATTTGCCTTTTATCCAGACGCTGCCCACTTCATCCTCGCAGCAATCCTGGAGACAGAGGAAAGAGAGAGCCGGAGGACAGCCCAGAGTCCCCAAAGAATTCATGATTTCAAAAGAATGCTGCTGGAGTGAAGAATAATTCTATTTTGCCCGATGACCACCCGGAGAGTTCACGGAATATTTCCAAGCAAGGCATGAGGGCAGTATCTCTCCTCAGTCGCTTGCCCCCCGCCCCGGGCCCCCAAATTGGTAGTCAGGGAGATACACTGTCTCTCAACATGGAGGTTCTATGTAAGCCTCGCGGTTCATAAGCTTCCCTCCCAGTCTTTCAAGGCCATCGTCCCTCTCTGACAGCCTCAGGCGGAGAGCCCTTTCGCCTCCCTTTCCCGACCGTGGTGGGGAGGAGGAGGGACCGGCGTAGCCAAAGGACTACAGCACCCGGCGTCCTCCGAGCTAGGGCGGGCTTGTTATTTGTCCTTCGCCGCCGGAGAGTCAATGTGGGACGGGGTTGGGGAGGAGGAGGAGGAGGAGGAGCCGATTCCGGCGCGGAAGCAGCAGGTAGGAGGGTTGCCCGCCTCCCCGCCGCCGTCGGGCTGACCCTGCGCTTTTGGAGAGGCGGGCGGGCAGGCGCTCGGGTCCTTTGTGGCCGGGAAGAGAGCGTCTCGTGTGGCCGCTCCTGTTGCTCCTCCTGTGACCTGGGGGTTGCGAAGAGGGCTAGGAAAGCCCCACGGTCTCCGCAGGTGGGTACTCGGCAGGGTGGGCTCAGCGCCGGGCAGCAGTCCTCCCGGTGCAGCAAAGCGCCTTTTTTTTCCTAGTGAGGCGCCGCCTTACTTGTCTCCGCCCCGAGGCGTGAAAAGGGGTGTTGCACCAGTGGGGGAAGGAGAGAGAAAGACAGAGACTGGGGGGAGGGAGGGCGCTCCGGAAAAGAGGGGGCCCCCGGCGGCGGCTACACAGACACACACGCACAGCCCAGCGCGACCTTTGGTGTGTGGAGGAGGTTCCCCATCCCCTCTGCCTTCTTCCCGCCCGCCCGCCTCTCCTACTCGGCAGCCTCTATAATCCCCCACCCCACCCGTGACGTGACCCGGTAATCGCCTAGCCGGCTGCTGCGCCGGCGCCTGCTGGGGGCCGTCTCGGGTGAGCCTCGGGTTGCAAGCTGTTGAGGTGTCAGTGGTATTTAAACCGCTTTTAGGAAAACTGTCCCGTCGTCTCCCTTTTTTCCCCCCCGGCCAGGAAAAGTGTCTCTTAAAATGAATCCAAAGCTTGAGTTTGAAATGTCAAGGAACTTCTAGTTTCCATGTACTGTACAGTACATTAGAAATGAATGAACCACCTGAACAAGGGAGAACGGTTTCTGTGCTCTTGCAACCCAAAATTAGCTTTGACAGCAGCGGATTTTCTTACGAGTGCTATGTGGAGTGGCCCTTTTAAGTTGAGGCAATTTTAATTACTTTTTATAACTGATGCAACCCAACAGTGATGGTCTGTTACACCGTCTTTAAAAATTCACCTCCCCTGCCCTTCCACCGAGTGATTAATTTGACAGTGTCCTGAAGTTATCTTTGTTGATAGTTAAGACCCCTTAACTTTATGAAAGACCTGTTTGTTATTTGTTGATATGGAGCAATCCACTACAACAAGGAGATGCAGCAGGCTCATCTCTCACTCATCACAGTTTTCAATTTTAAGACTTTCCACGTCTAGGCTATTCTTAAAAACAAGGGCCTTGGTGTTACATTTTCTACCTACCTGGTAGACAGTGGGAATGCTATAGGTGTAATATATCTTTATTTCAGCAAAGCCTTTGACAAAGTGCCCAATGATATCCTGATTATCAAGCTAACTAGCTGTGGGCAGGATGGCACAAGTGTCCCCTGGATGCACAATTGGTTACAGAAACAGAGTGCTTATCAATGGCTCCTTCTCAAACTGTAGGTGGTTAAGGTGAATAAAAATCAATGATTATTTTTAAAGTTGAATTCATTTGAATCACGATTTTAATTAAAATTATTTTTGTTTAAATTGTCAAGTCTGATTTTTTTAAAAATTAAATTTTGATTTAAATCAAATCCACATGGACGGAAGTAATAAGTGGGATACTACAAGACTCAGTCCTGGACTGTGTGCTCTTCAACATTTTTATTAATGATTGGATGAGGGGTGCAGGAAATGTTTATCACATTTGTAGATGACACAAAATTGGGTGGAATAGCTAATACTTTGGAAGAGAGGAACAAAATTCAAAAAGATGTTAATAAGCTTGAGCACTGGTCCTAAAATAACAATGAAATGGAGCAGTAATACGTACAAAGTTCTACACCTAGGGGAAAAAAACCAAAGGCACAGGTACAAGATGGAGGGTACTTGGCTCAGCAATGTAAAGTTCTACACCTAGGGGAAAAAACCAAAGGCACAGGTACAAAATGGAGGGTAATTGGCTCAGCAATACTATGAGTAAGAAGGATCTTGGAATTGGTGTAGATCACAAGCTGAATATGAGTGAACAGTGTAATGTAGTTGCAAAAAAAAAAAAGCCTGTGCTATTTTAGACTATGTTAACAGAAGTATAATCTCCAAATCCTGTGAAGTACTAGTCTCCATCTACTAGGATTTGTTAAGCCTCATCTACCAACATGAATTTGACCCAACTCCGGGAGGCAGTGGAAGACAGGAGGGCCTGGCGTGCTCTGGTCCATGGGGTTACGAAGAGTCGGACACGACTAAACAACAACATCTAGAGTAATGCATTCAGTTCTGGACCCTGCACTTTAAGAAAGATGCCAACAGACTGAAACAAGTTCAGAGGAGGGCAACAAGAATGTTCAAGGGATTGGAACCCAAGCCATATGAAGAAAGACTGAGCTGGGCATATTTAGGCTTGATAAAAGAAGACTGAGGGGAGATATGAGAGCACTTGAAAGGTTGTCATACAGAGGAGGGGCAGAATCTGTTCTTGATGTAATAATGGGCTCAAGCTAACGGGAGCCAGATTTAGGCTGAGTAGCAGGGAAAAAATGTCTTAACTGTTAGAGTGATATAGCTGTCATACAGAGGAGGGGCAGAATCTCTTGATCATTCCAGAGTGCAAAAGATGTAATAATGGGCTCAAGCTAATGGGAGCCAGATTTAGGCTGAGTAGCCAGAAAAAAAATGTCTTAACTGTTAGAGTGGTATAACAATGGAATCAGTTACCTTGGGAGGAGGTGAGCAGTCCAACGCTGCAGGCATTCAAGAGAAAATTGGACAACCATCAGATATCCTTTGGCTTGGATTCCTGCATTGAGCAGAGGGTTGGACTCCACAGCCTTATAGACCCTTCCAACTCAATTATTCTGTGAGTCTATGGAGTTGCCCAGGTGAGACTCCTGCACCACCAGCAGGTCAGCAGACTGTCTCTAAGAAGACAGCCTTGCAACATGAGGATTTCTACCCCATTTAGCTTTCCAGTTGTGGTTTAGAGAGGGGGAGGTGGCTCTGATTTACATCCTCTGTAGGCTGGACTTTCCCTCTCCTGTCATAAGAAGTGAGTGGCTGAAAGTGCATTTTTGGCATCATCATTCTCAGATAGGCTACCCTATAACAATACTGTATCCATATATATAAGCACTTTTGTGGAAGAGATGTATCCAGAGTGAGGTTTGTACCACTCTGAATTACATCTCCACACTCCAAGGGGATTTATCACAACATGTGAGTTGGCAAATCTTTGTGCCCAGGCCATTGGTTTATATTTGTGCACTGTAACATCCCTGCTTCCTTTAGCCGCCAGTGTAAAACTTAATGAGAATCTTGGAGTGTGGACCCCCAAGTAAACTTTGTACTGTGCCAAATGATGTGACCACACCATTGGCACCTATGAATGTCTGTGTGTCTGTAAGTAAAGGACAAAGCATTTGCAATACTACATATAAATGTGGATTTTACATTCTGACATTGTAAGTGCCCACCAGCAGAATAGTCTGCATCTGAAATGAGCAAACATTGTTTTCGTCCAAGAAATTCACAACCTTGATGTTACCACACAAATTATATTTATTCATTTCCCAGGACACCACAGATGAGAAACTGGTTGTCCTGCCAAGGCAGTGACAGAATCACTATGGTAGTGAACTGGTGGTGGTGATGGGGAACTCTTCCCACAACAAGGGGCACTAGGTTACTGGGCTGCTTATTGGCCCCACAGATGCCCTTTACCTAGTTTATTATCATTCTAGTTCCACAGTATGTAAAACAGAGAATTGACCAGAGATCATAGGTTTCCTAAGGAATGGACTGAAACAGTGGCTCTGCTCATAGAGACGTACAAGAACTTGTTAACTCTGATTGAGGGATCCTGCACCGCTGGAACTGGGGAGACCTTAGAGAATATAGTACTGTGCAGGATGAACCAAAGGACTGAGTTTGAGTAAGGCAGTTTCATGTGTTAATATGGCACCTCTGCTGAACTGGTTAAATGTAGGCAGTCCCCTTCCTACCCAGGGAACCTCATTTCATTTATTAGGCTGTGTGCAAAGAAGAAAAACAACCTAATGCTTGGTTTGATCATGAATTTCTTTCCTGACATTGTTCTGCAGTGCTGAAGGTTGTAGCACAGAGGAATCTGTCTGCAGTAAAAGCACATGATTCTTGTTATTGTATCAGCATGAGTAAAGTGTATAGGGAAATGCTTCCATCTAGTACTGAGCTGACCTACAATCAATAAACTAACAGAGGTATCTGTTTGAGAATAACAGAGGTATGATCCCATTAGTCTCAAATTCCCTATGGTCTGCTAAGACAGTCACAGGAGATTTCTGAGGCTCAGAATTCTGCCCTGTATATAGTAGAATAGTAACTCTGTGTTTTCTCAGGATAGGGAGATGGTGTGCTGGTACAATGTTAATGGACCCAGCTCAGAATCAACAGTAGAGTGGGGAAGTGGAAAATACCCTTAGTTAAGGTGGGTCTTTTACAGTCTTTTACCAAGTTGCAGGTTTCAGTGAAAACCCAAAGTAATCCTTATTATAGTTCAGTGCTGCTTGTGTCTCTGTTCTGCTGTGTGGATTAGAGAAGGGGCCATCTCAGTAAGAGTATGCTGTGTTCTAGTTGCAAGTGGATTATATACTGCTCTGCCAGAAGAAGCTATTTGAAATAAAGTTAAGCTAATCTGATTTCCCCTTTAAAGCAGGAAAGAATGTGTTTGCAGGTAGACACAGAGTCTAGGTGTTTAGTGAAAGTATAAGGCAAGAAAGGGTCTGGATTGTTTTGGATCTTGCATCTACAACTCACTATTGGTGCGAAACGAGTCTTTTGCAATGTCAGAATTCCCAGGCTCTCCCCCTGATTCATAGGGTCATGAGGTTGTAAGGGGCCTATAAGGCCATTGACTCTAAATCCCACCCACCCCCCTACTTAGTGCAGGAATGCAAATCAAGGGATATCTGACAAATCGTTGTAAGGGGCCTATAAGGCCACTGAATCTAAATCCAACCCCTCCTCTGTATGACAGCCTTTCAAGTGCTTGAAAACTGCTGTCATATCTTCTTGCTCTAACAGTTAGGAACCTGTTCTGGATATTTAGCCTAAATCTGGCTTCCTGTAGCTTGAGCCCATTATTACGTGTCCTGCACTCCTGGATGATTGAGAACAAATCCTGCCCCTCCTCTGTATGACAGCCTTTCAAGTACTTGAAAACTGCTATCATATCTTCTCCAAGTCTTCTTTTCTCAAGGCTAAACATGCCCACTTATTGCAGTCTTTCCTCACAGAGCTTGGTTTCCAGACACCTGATTACGTTTGTTGCTCTCCTCTGGACTTGTTACAGTTTATCAGCATCCTTCTTCAAGTGTGGACAGAATACTCAAAGTGAGGCCTAGCCAGTGCTGAATAAATGATGATTGGTACCC